TTATCTAGTACAAATTTATATATAAGTTAATGTGGTTTTACAAGCTATAAATATAAAAATAATAAATTTAAAGAATCAACTCAAAAGGTTGACAATAATGCTCATACATGATCGTAGGCTAAGTTTAAATTATAATTAAGTACTTAAATATTTGATTAACCTCAAATAGCTTCGACCACAAATTAATTCCTCAATTAAACCTTAAAATGATAATAATTTCAATTTAAATTCTCAATCAATCCATAATTTATACAATTAAATTTCTAAATAAAATTTAGAATGTTACAAATGTGGTTAGAGATTTATGATTTAAATCACTTAGATTAAAAAAAATGATAAGGTACAGACTTATTACACTATTCATTATTATTTATCATTGGATTCTTTGAAGTTTATGCCATGCCTTAGTCAAAGATAAGTTTAATTATGATGGCGGTGATGCTGTTAGGCTCCTAGGCGTGGGTAATTTATGTGGTTAATTAAAAAGAACGATTTGTGGTTTGATGTCTATAATTTGTGTGAGTTGTTGTCCATGTGTTAAATATGAAAAACAATAAATTTGTTTAACCTAATCTACTTTTTCTTAAATTCATTTTAAATGATGCCTCTTGTCCTTAACCCACGCCACCAAGCATTCCATTAAATTTACCCAATACAAAATGTAGTTTTCGTACATGCCTGTCACACAATAAATTAACTTCTAATCATATGTCATGTTATCTAATCAATGCATAATATATATATATATATATATATTAACAAATATTAATTTAAAACGCAACATATACACATAAACTTCCCCCACGAAGTTAAAGTAATTAACGTTTTTTTTATTTTATCCTTTATTTGTTGTTTGTCTTTTAAATTACAATAATTAATTATAAAAAGAGTAAAATGAAAAGATTGCAATTTTTTTACAATTTCAAAATTATAACTAATAAGCACAAAATTTGTTAATTTTATTTTTTAAAAAACATATATTTTGGTCTTTGTATTTTGCTATAAGTTCTTGTATTTTTTTTTTTATATTTTGGGTTCCTACACTTTCATTTTTTGATATTTTAAATTTATAAATGAACAAAATGTAGGGATGTTGGATGAATGTAAAATACTGAAAAATAAAAATGTAAGGATCTAAATTATTAAAAAAATATAGAGAACTATAATAAAATATGAGTAAAGTGTAAGAACCAAAATGTATGTTTTTTTTATTTTTATTAAAGACCGGAATAATATGTAAAGTGACATTATTTATAGACTAGAACAAAGAGACTTTTTTATAAAGTTACTTTTTAAATTTTCATAACTTTTTTGGTTTTCATATCGCTGATATAAATTTTTCCATATTTTAAAAATGTTTAATGCTATAAGAAAGGGCATAATTTCTAAAATTATTTTAATTTAATTTCACATTACCGTATCTTTTGAACGTTTTTTTCCCCCTGTGTAGCCACCAAGAGCAAAAGCCAGAAAAAAGTGCTTATCAACGTGCTCTCAATTTCAACGATGCTCTTTTGTCTTTAACCCCAACACCAACCCCACTCCATTAAATTTACTCAATATGTATCACACGCTTTTCACACGTTACTATCTCCCAATAAACAAACATCTAATCGTTTTTACCCCAAAAAAAAAAAACTATTCGTGATAAATTCATATTTGAATTCGATCAGTTTCTCTCGCCCTCACGTCATTTATAGTAAGCGTCGGTATTATAGTCATAAAATTTCATCAACGCTTCATATTTCATCAATAGAACGACCTGATATGTTGTTCAATATCATAGGAAATGGAAGAAAATCTAATAATCAGTGAAGGATTTAACACTATAGAGGAATTATGGAAATTTTGGTTGGAATATATATGAGAAGAAAATTAGATTTGGAGGAAGAAAATATAATTTGACAAAAAGTTCTCATAAAAGAGTCATTTAACTACTTGTTTCTTTAATTTTCGGTCAAATTTGGATTGATCTATAGTGTTGGTGAAATCTCACAGTAGCAGTGTCGATACTCACTCGCTTGGAATATTTATAGAAACTAATATCTTATCAAATTCTTTGTTGATATAAAAAAAGTGAAATTATCCGATTTAAACACATTAATTTATTTATAAATTCAAAATTAACAGCTTCAAATTCACCAATCAAGTTGTTAGTTTTGAACTTATTTAAATTTATACATTAAGTTGTTATATAGTTATATGTATAGGATGCGAGAAACGTGGAAAATTACTAATGATTAGTTAAGCCATCAATCAAGGCCTTTCTTTTATTTATTTGCTTTTTGTTTTTATTAAAAAAAACTGTGACAATAAACCAAAGGCCTTGACTCATATGCATTTAAGAGAAAACATGTGGTTATTATAATCACACAGTAATTATTATTTAATTAAGCTAGGGTCGAAGAGAGGTTAGGCCACCAGACACCAGAGCCCTTGATTCTTATGTATGTAGCATGGAACATGTGATTAGTGTAAATAATAGTAAAAAAATGTCACAAGTTACCTAAAAAAAGATTTCTTTTACTTCTTTTTTCCTGAGCAAATCCTCCGAGATTTGTTATAACTATTTAGGATATGAAATTTTTAGTTTCTCAAATTTAATTTTATCAATTGAATCCCCTATATTTGTATCAATTGTTAATTTGGATTTTATTATTTAAAAAGAAGATAGCACCGTTAAAATGTCACAAGTTATACAAAGATTTGTTATAATTATTTGAGATGATAAAACCTTTAGTCTTTCAAATTTAATTTTCATCAATTTAATCTTTATTATCAAAGAAAAGGTAACACGGTTAAAATTTACTATCATGAATAAAGAAATATTGATGGTAACAATGTATATTGATAACAAGAAGTGTAATTATTTAAATAAAAAAATATGCTCAATTTTTAAAAAAAATAAAAGAACAAAACACAACATAAGGGATTAGGTTGATACAAATTAAAACGAGTCAATAGCTAATTTACTCTTATTTAATTATATATACATTTCAAGCCATCAACATACATAAAAAATTTCATTAATTTGATAGTTAAATTGTGCTTTAAAACTTAAATAACAAATGTAATAATTTAAGAAAACTCAATAGATGAAATTGATAATTGAATCAAATTTAAAATATTGAATTTTAAATTATTCCTAATTATTCTAAACGTTAGACTTCAATGAAGATTTATTTTTTAATTAATTTTTACGCGTAATCCTTGATGTAATGTATAGTGGCATGCGAAACTCAGTCAAGATGCTCAAAAATAAAAAACAATAATTTCTCTTCAGTTTAGAAGACTGTACAATCTAACCATATCTTGAGCACTAAAAGTCAATTATAATTTATAAAGCATGTAAGCTTTTTGTTTAATAAACATAAGCTTAAACCTTTCAAGTTTCAAATTTAATTATCCGCCCCATTCAAAATTTCAAAAATAAAATACATCCGGCTTGTTATCTAAATAAAACTAATAACAACTTAGTAAAGGCATTTTTGTTTCAAACCACACGTAAATCTTCATTAAAATTTAAAATCACATTACATGTTATTGTTATTTTAAATTTAATTCTTTATTAAAATGTATTTTTAATCTAAAATTGAAAATTTATATATTTTTTAATAAAATAAAAAATATGTGTATATATTTTCAAAACTTGAAATTACAGTCAAATAAAAGATCATGTTACAAAAAACTAAAAATTTAAACAGTCTATAATTAACCTATACATCTAAAAGAAAAAAAATATATCTGTAAGTCTTCACAATTTTATTCAATTTTAAATTAGGTCCCTATAATTTATATTGTTTTAATCAAATTTTTTTAGTTTTATCTATCATATATACAGACCCCTAAAAGTTAAAATTAATAATAAATTATTAAATTTTACAAAACAAAAATACTCTTAGAGTTTGCTAAAAACTTAATTTAATACCTTTAGTCAAAATAAAAAAAATAATTTAATTTACTATTTATATTTTTATTATCATTTTTCATGAAAATTATACGTATTTAAAAAAATTTTAGAAAATTACCTAATTATCTAAATTTTGAATTATAAAAATTATGTAATTAATTTTAAAGTCATATAATCATTTAATAATAAAACAAAAGTTTTTAATTCTGTTTTTTAAAAGAAAAATATAAGGATTTTAACTTTCAAGAATTAAAAAATTTAATTTTTTAAACCATAAAACTTTAATTAAAATAAAATAAACTGCATAAACTTAATTTAAAATTGAGTAAAATTGTAAAGATCTGTAAATATAATTTTTTCAATTCAAAAGTTATAAATCTCACAACTTACTAGTTACTACTTCCTGACAAGTATTTAAGCCCACGTTTTAGCCCATACAAAATTGATTATGTAATAGAATTTTTATCATCAGGTGTATTTTTTAAATTCATATTAAACCATATTTTTATGACTTGTGTATGTACATTTTTTTGGGTAAACAAAAAAGGATATTTTTTACAATATTAAGTAATTATTTATTAAAAGATATATTTTTTATTTTTATGTAAACTGTCTATAATTTATGACCATATTTATTATTGTATTAAGTAATGATTTATTAAAAGATATATTTTTCCCTTATATTTGTTGATTTCTCTTTTTAGACGTTTTTTTTGGTTGACATCATCACTATTATGTTTTAGATTTTTTATAAATTTTTAGATTGTTTTTTAAAACATTTTTTGGGTAAAAGATAACAATGTTATCTTTAATATCATAATATTAAAACTTTCTCGATCCAAAAAAATGCTAAGTTTTAGATTGCCAAAGAGGGAGAACACTTCCACCCCAAAACACACAATGGGCAAAAATATCCAAAAAGGGCCATCATCACGAAACCCAGGTTTGAAGCCCACATTAACTTCTGGATCCGGATCGGGTCATCGTTAAGCAGCGCCGCCGAATCTCATCACCACTTGCGTCCCATCCGATGATCCATTTCCTTCCCACCCCTTTTCCCAGGAAATAAATAAATAAATAATAAAGCCTTCTTTTTTCTCAACCTTAATTGCGCAAATAGCTGTTTGTTTGGGAGGAAAGGAAGCGACGCCGGAAATCCCGAATTTTCCGGGAACCTTGACCCTAGAATGGTTTCCCCGGAAAACTCCAATTGGTTTTTCGATTATGGCCTGATTGACGACATATCTGTTCCTGATGGGAACTTATCTGTCCATGCTTCCGGGTTCACCTGGCCGGCGCAGGCCTTGAATGGTTCTTCAAATGTCAGGTAGTTGGATCATTCAGAATTGCATTTTTCCTTTGTTGAATGCACTGTTTTATTTTTTCCTTTTTGACGGATTGTTTAGGGTTTTGATTCCGGTGCTAACTAAGATTTTGGTCTTTATATTTTCTTGATTTCCTTGCTTCCATGAAATTCTGAACTTCTAGTTGTTCATGTTTGATTTCTGAGTTCGGAACTGGTACAGGCTATTGTTGCTTGATTCATGGAAGAATGTACTTTTAAAGTATTTTATCTCTTGCAATAATCAGTACAATTGTCAATTAGAAAGAGCAGGGGAAGTTGAACGTAATGTCGGCTGGATCAAAATTTTGATACTTGAATTTTAAAATGCAAGAATTTATCTCAGAGTTGTGAAAAAAAAAAATCTATTGGTAAATGATCTAGCATCTCCTTCCCATATACATCTTACTTGAGCTCTGAAGTCCGAGCAATCCCTTCCAAATTCCATCACTAAGCCCAATTATGGCTCTAATATTGTGCCTGGATTTTGGTGGCACCATTATTCCAGTGAATTCAGTTTCATTAACAACACTCATAAACGGAAGGCAACTGAGCCAAGCTCAATAATATCAGTGGATCTAACATGTAGATACTTTATTATTCAAATTGAAATCCGTGGGGGAAGAATACCCAAATTTAATAGACTACACATTCAAATCTAATAACATGACTCATGCCACTATGCTATTTTGGGGAAGCCCCTTTTGTTGTGAAGTGAAATCTGGAAGCAAAGACTTGCAAGCTAAATATTTGATAAAAACCCATATCATAACGATGAAAAAGCAGCTGATATAGTTGGGAATATTGCAATTAAATTGTCACAAACGTCTAGCACCAATAAGTTATCAGTATAGAACTTCTTAACATGTTGGTTGAAAACTTGGTCCTGCCACAAATAAGAGGCATCGAATTTGATGGGCAAATTAGTAGTTTATGTTCTGCTATAATTCAGAGGGTTGAAGAGTTACATTTTAAAGGCAGGTTACATAAGCTGTAATTATGTTGCAGCTTGAAGGAGTTAGGTACGTTCCCCAAAAAACATACAGCTTAATTGTTTTTTGTATTTTCAACTTGGGTTTATAATTGTCTAATAGGTATTAATATAAATAGCCTGAGTAATGCAGAATGAGAAGATAACTATTTTGATTATTTTATTATCTAAAAGTAGATTCTTATTTGGGATGATTATGGATTTTTAATAAATTATATTGGGGTAATTTAGGATTAGTTTGGACTTATCAATTTTGTGTTTAGGATGGATAGGGAATTGTGCTTATTCAAGAGAGGTTGATTTTGCTGCAAAGTATTTTTCTAATTGATGACTCATGTTTATGCAAACATACAATCCTATGCAATTTATGTTTTCTTTTGTACGGCAAGAAAAGAAGGGAAGGGAGAAAGAGGTGTTGGCAGAAGTGGCAGAATTTCTCTCTTCCCAAAGAGAACTATGAATTGAGGTTGGCTTTGACCACTGGGGTTTGTTTAGATCTATGAATTGTTGGTTTGTTACTGGCCAATCTGTTCATTGTATTCTCTGTCCCATCCTGCAAAATTTTGATTCTGAGGATGAATCTGTATTAGGATGCTCAGGATTTGTCAAAAAGAATGCTATCGTCAGTACTGTATTTGCATGCTTGCAGTATAATTTGAACCATGGAGATAATATATTTGAAAAATGTATGAGTTCAACCTGTCCCCACCTAGTGGGATAAAGGCTTGTTGTTGTTGTTGTTGTTGTTGTATGAGTTCAACCTGTCTTGGATGGTTTGTTTGTCAGAATATTTTTTGGTATATATTACGATCTGTTTTATACTGTACTTCCTCCTGGTTTTAAATTTATTATTTAGTTGTTAGAAGCATGGTTGAACCAGTTAAATACCAACACCTTCTAAACCCCACTTTTCTTTTCCACTCGAACTGTAAACAAGAAATGGTTACTTACCCATTCTTCTTCTCTGTTGATAACATCTATTCCTAGCACGGAAATTGATGGCTCGTTGGGGGATTCTGATGGTCTCAAAGAGCCTGGTTCAAAGAAGAGGTATATGTTTTATTCTCCGTTTCTGTTTCAAGTTCTAATCTACTTCCTTTTCTTTCTATTTATATTTCATATACCAATAAAAATTGAAGTCTCGGATCAAGATGTTGCTGTGATTCTTTGGATATTAAATAGACTTCCAACAGCATTGATGGGGATCACTTTTGCCATTATTCCCATGTCACCTTTCTCTGTTTTAAAGCATAAATTCATTTTTTCTCTAAATATTTAAATATAAAAATTGATTAGATCTAATGCTAATAACTTCTGCTTGAAGTAATTTATCTCATATCTCTAGTTTATTTCCTGTTTTAGGAGTAGATCTGATTCAAATGCTGCTTCCAGTTCCAAGGCGTGTCGTGAGAAATTGCGGAGGGATAGGTTGAATGACAAGTAAATTTTCTGGCCCCCACCATTCCTTCTGTCTATCTTTATTCTTCGTGCGGCCTTGTGTGTAAATGTGCATCAGGGGCATGTACCTAATTTGCTTGACATGGTCAGGTTTCTTGAATTAGGCTCCATTTTGGAGCCTGGAAAGCCTCCCAAAACAGACAAGGTTGCTGTTTTGATTGATGCTGTACGAATGGTGACACAGCTACGGGGTGAAGCCCGGAAGTTGAAAGATTCAAATACGAGTCTTCAAGAGAAGGTAAAAGAGTTAAAGGTGAGGCTTCAATTCATACTCATTACAAATTGTTGAGGATGGAATTATTTGCTGGCCGGCGTATGTTCTTGATTACTCATACCCTCAAGTTTTCTGCTGTAAAAGTAGCACCTTGCTATATTGACCGAGAGATCATGTAAATTTATAGAACGCCAACGGTATTAAATTTCCATGTGTAGGCTGAGAAGAATGAACTTCGTGATGAGAAACAGAGGCTCAAGGGAGAGAAAGAAAAGTTGGAGCAGCAGCTGAAAACTATCAATGTACAGCCCAGTTTCTTGCCTCCCCCGCCTGCAATTCCTGCTGCATATGCTACTGCACAAGGCCAAGGCCCAGGCAACAAGTTGGTGCCATTTATCAGCTATCCAGGAGTTGCCATGTGGCAATTTATGCCACCAGCTGCTGTGGATACCTCACAGGATCATGTGCTCCGTCCACCAGTTGCCTAAGTTGGCACTGTACGAATGTTTGGGCGTTTCTTTTGGCTCAAAAGTTGTGTTCATCTCCCCACCGTACCTTCTTGATTATTGTACCTTTCAACCAATTGTTCTAACTGCACCTGATGGTCTTGGCTCTGATTGTATTAGGCATCTGATACTTTTATGAAGTAATGCTGGTGTTTGCATGTAAATTACTAATAAGCTTATCTGGCTGTCTTCTCTTTGGTTGTGATGCATTGGACCTTTCGATGATCTGTGTGGTCAGGTGCAACTGATTGTTGTGTTGGTTTAGGCTTGTGAAATTGTAGAGGAAATTCTTGAAGAAATGCTTTTCCATCAAGTATTCCCGTTGTCCTATTTATAAGGTGTTGAAGACATTTTTCACATACTCTAAAAAAAGTTATGTTGTTTTATTTGTTAAAAAAAACCTCAACTTTTCAACTATGTCCTTATTAATTGAAGGAAAAAGATGGGTTACCTTGTTATTTGAGTAAATACTTTTGAAGTTGAAGGGTAAAATTGAGAGATTATTTTATTTTTTTGTTTGACACCTTATAATTAAGACTATTTATTTTTGTAACACACTTTGTAAATAGGAATGTATCATTATATTCTGCTTTAACTCTAAATCCGTTGCAGTCAAGATTAAATTATGCGATGAATTGGTTTAAGCCATGGAATGCCATTTATGATTCAGCAAAACAGTTGGTTGTAACTTGTAACTCGTGCATTCCAGTGTGGTGATTTGAGCAGCTGGATGTGTGTGTATTAATGTATTAGATGGAATTTGAGCAATGAGGTTCATTTTTTGACTTCCCAGTAGCACAATTTTTTTAAAATAAATTTTATTATATATTATATTTTAATGTAATATAGTGTCTTTTGCCCCTTGCAGTACAATTATAATTGTAAATTATTATGAAGTAATATTCATTTTGAAAAGAATCTCGCATGATTAAAATATTCGCCGGCATTGCTCGTTATTGCAAATATCATGAGTTTACAGGGCTCACTAATTGAAAAATGGCAACTGGCAAGTGCAGGCTTGTTGGGTTGTCAAAGAAATCTTACTTTGCTCCTTAAAGTAAGTTAAAGTTTGAAATATTTTTTATTCTAAATATAAAATGAAATTAAAGTAATTAATATTTTTTTCAATTTTATCTATTATTTATTTATTATCATTTGAATTCCTAAACAATAATTTATTATAATCATTAATTACAAAAAGGGTAAATTTTGTTATAATTTCAAGATTATAACTAATATTTTTTAATAAACGCAAAGTTTATTAACTTCCTTGTATATTAATGACAGATATGATATAACAATAGAAAAATTGTCAACTTAAACATGTGGAATTAACATGAAATATAAGCAACTAAGGGAAATGGATGTGTTTATTCGGGTGCTTCAAGCTTATGTTTTGTTCATAATTATCTAAATTAATATTTGCTATGTATTTTTTTAAATTTGGTCAACTGTCAAGATCTTCAACTGTTATTAATTTCTAAATTTAATTCCTCTATAAAGACTTTACCATCAATCCCTCTTTGAAAATTTATGAACTGTTGTTTCCCCCACTCCCTTCTTATATCTTTTCTTTTCCCGGCCTAAAAGAAGAACCTCATCAATATTCGGTTTTTTGCGTCTCTCACAGTTATCGAGGGTCTGGATTTCCTTATCTGGATGCGTCTCTGGCATTGACACCTTCATGTGACACCTCAGACTCGTTGCTTCATCTTGAATGGCATCCTTTCTTCACCGAACTCATTTCTATCTCTTCAGATTCCTAAACCAATCCCTCTTCCTTCAAACTCCCTCACTCAGTGCTCACTTATCCATTCCTCTCCAATCAATCAATGTCTCCGCCAACACTGCCTTGTCCCCTTCCTCAAGGCTACACCAACCACATCGATCATCCAATCTTCACTCTCTTCTTCTCCAAACCCACCCACCTCAAAGGACGAGGCCATAAACCAAGCCAAAACTTCCCTTTTAACGGCCTTAGAGAAGCCCCTCAACAACCCTAAACTAATAGGTAAACTCAAGAAACTGAAGCAACCCAAGTTTAGGGTTGAAATTCCCATTGTGGATGACTCTCTGGAATCGGTAGCCCAACTTGCCCTTCATGTGTTTGATAAAATACCTATTAGAAGAAAAGGTTCTTCCGTTAAGATTCTGATTTTATGGCCCCATCCCGCCTTAAAAGAAGCTGCCACTAAAGCCTTTCTTTCCCGTTCATCTACAACTAGCCAAATTGAACACGTGGATATTCCTTCAATTGCTAATGTTGATTCCAGAGTTTTGAATTCTGCTGATGTAGCTATCTTTTTGGTTCCTGAGAGTTCCCAACTGGCCGTCATGAAAACAGTCACTGATGTGTTTTATCCAAAGCCAGTAGTTCTGTTTAACCCCAAATGGGCTTTTGAGGAGGAGAGCAATTTTGGTGATCTGAGTGGGTTTGTGGGTTCATTTGAAGTGCTTTATTCTTTTATGGGGTTGGAGGTAAGGGGGGTATTGAGCAAACGAAAAGGAGTGATTTTCAAGTGTGTGAGAGATGGAGTTGTGAGTGGAGAGAGATGGGTTGTTCATGTAGAAGAAGAAGGGGAACTGAAGGTAGTTTCAAGGTTTAAGGCCCGGCCAACCATTGGTGAAGTTGAGAATGTTTTGTACAATCTGATGGCAATAAATTCACCTGTGACAAAATCTGCGAAGTTTCTCAAGGATCTGGTGTCCAATGTAACCGGGAAAAAGTGAGAGTAACTGAAGAATTGGGGTTCAATTCAGTTCTGAAAGTAAAACATGTGAATATCTGGAAGAGTTTAGGTACACCACTATGATCATTGTATGAATTAAGCTTGTAATGTTATCAAATTCAACTCAGTTCTCAGATTTTACTTCTTATGGTTTATGAATAGATAGGTAGTTGCAATGGTGGATGTTGCTAGAATTTAGGAGATACGTTTTTTCTTTTTCAGAAGTGAAATCAGATTGGAATGGCTCATCACCACTGTTTCTTCACCTTGCTTAAGTTTATTGCTTTGTCTGTAGCTTTTATATTACTTTCTGGGGTAAAAAAAAACTGTGTCTCATTTTATACATAGACATTTGATCTAAGAATGCTCATACTTACAATACGCTTTCAAGAGAAAAAGAATCTGAGAACTTCTACTGAAGAGAATTCAAAAGATATAAAAGTTTAAAAAATAAAAATAAAAAATGCAGGGAGAATAATGATGTATCGTGGTTGTCTCTTTGTCGAAGGCCTGATGCTTGGAAGAACTCTCTCACTTTCCTTTTCCTTCGTTATCTCATGTACAAGTCCCATTTCATCAACTCATCAGATGGATTTGATATTCTTAAGATCCAAGTTATGATGCCCTAATATTACAGCTCTTGATGAACCTATCTGAAAAGTTGACATACTTAGCCCACAAGGGCCTTAGCTGTGGAAAAGCTATGTCTAGCCATGGCTTTGCCCTGCCATTAAAATGGATGACACCGGCACTCTCGGCATCAGAAAAACTTGTATTTTCTTGATATCCCAACCCCAGCATGTGCCAGAAAGGATCAATTACATGGACGTGGCCACGGAAAGCTATCAATCCAGGAGGTAATGTCCCTAGCTGCCATAGACTCAGGTCTGATTTTATATTCTGCTCAAAAAACCAAAAATATCACTACATTTTTGTATTATCTTTCTCTATGGAAACTCAAGCTTTAGTAACTTGAAATTAGAGCATATCAAGAGCGATTTAAAAAAAATGCTTTTAACAATTTATTTCTCTGTTATGGTAGGATGGAAGCTAGACATACCTGCTCAACCCAATAATAGTATGCATGGCTTATATTGGTCTTCCTCCAAGCTTCAAGATCAAAAATGTTCATGCCATAAGCCCAAGCACATTCATCAGGGTCGAAGTTTTCAGCTATCAAGGGATGAGAAAAGTTCAAATAGCTTTTCAACCTCTTTGACATCACAAACTTATCTTCTCCCGTACATGTTTCTACTGCTCCATTTACTTTCCCATTCATTTCAACGTCCCACAGTGGCGAAAGATCAGTTTGTACGACAATGTCATCATCTAGGAACACTATCTTGTTGAGACTTGGGAACAACTGTTACAAAAAAAACATACCATGATTACCAGTATCACGGGCACAAAAAGAAGGGCTACTTGGCCAGTTAGGGTTGGTTTGGCCTGAGGTTCCTAGGACTGACTAGGCGAGTCCTTTTAACATGCAGACTATGACAATGCTTTAAAGAACCACCCTTTTGAAGACATCATACAGGAGGCCAAGTCACTATTGAGTAGAGGGTGGATTGTGAATGTTAATTTTGTCAATGGGGACTATGTTAGACAAACTGATTCTTTGGTTAAGTTTGCTCATACGTTATCCTTGGATAGTCATTTCTTTAACCATCCTCCACTTTTTATTAGAGAAGAGGAGGAAGGACAGAAAAGTGGCCACTTTAATGTACTCTGATTTGTAACTTTTTGGTATCTATGAATCACTTTTCATCCCAAAAAAAAAAAAAAAGCTTTAAAGACTCCTTGCTGGATTTAAGAACAAGCCCAAAAGTGTAGTTTGCAATACTAGTTGTTCAATTCAACAAAAAGTAAACCATAGTTATCCTTATCCCAAACAACACTATCAAAGCTAATGACTTCGTTATTTTTCTGACAAAATTGTTTGGTCTTAATGGCCTTATTTGATTCTGATCTGGTTCAATCTAGGGCCAAATAGGATGGGCTTAAAAAGCTTTTTCCAAAAAATGGGCCAACGACCCATAGGACTCAACATATGTCAACAGCTCTAGATAGTGACATCTTAATGGACTTCGAATTGGTGTATCTATAATTTTGGTCTAAAATGAAAAAGAAAACATATCTGCTTTCCATGGATGCTGCACTTTTTACCTCTGGAAGATGTATCCTTATGTGGTTCATCATTGAGTTATACTTGGGACTTAGAGCTTGCAGTTTTGCTGCAACAACTTGTGGTTTCTCAATGCTATTCGCCACTATTGCTGATGATCCCCCTCTGAACTGTGACCTCACTTGTTGATCTTTCTCCATTGCCTCAAGAACAGGCACCTTCCCCTTTGTAAACCAATCAAAATGGTGCAATGCCTTGACCTCAATTATAGCAGGTGACAGGGGATGCAGTGAGAACCAAGCCTGCATGGGATAGTAAGTCTTTCTATCTGTAATTATGTGCAGAACCACCTTGCCACGTCGCCTAGAGTTTCGGACTAGTGAGGTGGCAACCACGGAAGCAGCCACAACATTGTCTGACGCAAGAACAAAGTGGAAGTAAGAGTTGTCAACCAAGGCAGGGACTAGTTCTGCAGGAGGAAGCTGAAGGCGAGCTTGTGCATTGTTGGTGTGCTCGCTGGCCAGCCTGAGGTCAAGGCAGTGAAGTTGCTTGGGAATGCTGCTTGATGCTACATGGCGATATAGGTATTCTTGAATTTTGGCTGTCCTGGTCCTTTTCTCCATTAGAATGACCTATGAAATTTTCAGCAAACTTGAGTAGGGATGGTTTAACAAGCCCATTTTTTTATTTTACCAAACCAAGTGTTTTTTTTTTTTTTAAATTGCACTTTACAGTTTAAAATCAAATGAATTGAACCAAACCATCAAAAAATAATATGGTTCAGTTCGACTCAGTTAATCTTCCCCCACCTCTCTTTTGCTTCTTGATTTAGACTAATTGATTCATGTTATAATAAATTAATGTAAAATTATAAATCCTGAAAATTTACGCCAATATCTGAAACATATAATTGAACTGAATTGCTGTGATCCCCTGTAATGAAAGTTAAGCTAAACAGATTTGATCTGCTTTTGATAGACTGTTACTTGACGATCAATTGTAAATTTTGCTGTGATAGCTAATGCCTTTGATTGTTCCTGGAGTAGTTAAAAGGGGGAGAAATTAAGTACCATTTCTCTAAGTTTGGCAGCAAATGTTTTGGCATCATATCCACCTTCCTTCATTTTAGTCATGAAGTCTTCCAAAGTCTGTGGAATATCAGATCTTCCTTCTACTTCATCCTGGTCAACAGGTTCATCTAATATTCTGTATATCACTTCTGGGACCTATCAAATTCAATGTCAGCTTTAGTTTGTCACTGAAACTTAAGATCCAGTATGGCAATAAATAGTTTAAGGAGTTGAAGAAATTACATTTGATTCAAGCTTTCTTCCCAGAATCCTTGGTCCTAGTTTTTTCCCCAGGCATCCTACAAAACTCAAGGTAGATCAAATTGTCATTTACATGCATATATTACAATTTCACGTGTCCTTCGCGCAGAACTAACTGATGACTTTTTGTATTGAAATATGTTCTTTATTGTTTATTTATTTGTTTCAATAAGGAACAACAGCTTCTTCGAAATGTGAAAATGAATGAGTAATATAATCACGTAATTTAACTTGTTATGTTTAAAAGAAAGAGGTGGCAACCTCTTAGCCGAAATTTTCCCCAACAGTATCTTTTGACAAATCTTAATAATCTGTTTTCGGGATCTTTAAAATGATAAAAAAAATCCCATGACGTTTTAAATCAAGCCGACAAGGAATTACTCAATTTATAACATTGAACCAAAAAGGATTGCAATAACCTAGACTCCATTGTACGTTTGCATTTTCCATATTGATTGCCATATCATGTATTATTACACTATTTTTCTGTCGGAAATTTAGCCGAAGTCCCAAAAAGAGGGGGAGAAAAGAGCTTACGAAAGTGCATGTTTGATTATTTTTTCATTTATTGGCTGAATGCTTTAAAATTTCCTAAAAACTCATACCCATCTCTCTAATATTTGAAAAATAAAAAAAAAATTACACGAAACCCACAGGTGTAAACGAAGACTGAAAGGGTTTAAAAAAAAAAGGAGAAGTTATATGGAGGATGAGACAAGTCACCAGATTTTATATTTTATATTAATGAATTCCAAGTTCTTCGAAATTCCATGTTCAGGAGCGAATTACTTGGCAACCAAACATCGCTATGCATAACATACAGATCCCAAAGCTATTGATATACAGAGAAAAAGAAAGAGATGAGAGAAGCAGATAACAGAGAAATGTACCTATGGTAGAGCACTTGAAATCGCCATCAATGGTGTTCACAGCAGTCAACACAAACACAAAGCGAAGAAGGAAAGTGAAGAGCAAGAGTGAATAGAAGAGCATCCTGTAGGACACTCTCCTTGATGCTATCTTCACTTTAATGAAATCTTTGAACCCTTTTCCAGGAAGCACAGTCACATGCCTCAAACTTGGTGATATGTGAAGCTGCATTTTGGCTAAACAAGGCACAAAAACTCACAACCTTATTCTTTGGATTCTTACGTTCCTCCTTAGTGGTACATAGCAGTAACAGAAGTTACTTCTTCATTGGCTGGTAGGGAATTCAGCACCTGATGATCATGAACAGAGAGGAGGAGGAGGAAGAAGAGAATGTGAGGTTGTGTTATGGTGTAAAAGGGTTTTAAGGGTATAGCAATGTGTTACCTAACGTTGCTTAACATTTGGGAGAGATGAAGAGGGGATTTTGAGGACTTTAATATATAATTTTTAAGGTGAAGTTGTGGTTGTTAAAGAGAAAGAGACATAGGACTGAGAGGATGGCAGATAGATGGCTTCTTCTTTGTTTTGTTTGATTCAAGCTTGGTTTTCAAGGAGCGAGGGGAAAAAAATGCAAATGAAGAAAGGAAAAAAAAAGAAGAAGAAGGATGATAATAAGAACAACATTGTAATTAAAAATTAAGCATGTTTTTCCCCCCTTCTGTTGGACTTTTTTTTTTTTTTTTTTGGTTTGGTGAATGCTTGTTGCCTTTGCCTGCAAATCAAGTTTAGTTTTTGCTAGGATATGTTAAGTTTGGACTATGACAGAAGCAGGACTTCTACATGGAAAATGACTAGCTCTCTCTCTCTCTATATATATATATATGTATGTATATGTATGTATATATATATTTGGTGGGGTCGAGGTTGTAGTCGATGGAG